GCCAGGCTCCGGCCACCGGTCTCCGGGTAGCTTTTTAGGCTCTTTATCGGGTGTTGTTTGGCTTCCATGTCTCTCAGTGAAAGCGCCGGCAGCGGGCCATGGTGCTCGGACACGAATGTGTGTTTAGTTGGGGAGGACCGGAGCAGCGTGCTGTGCATAAAGGATGCGGGACGGAGCGGCAAAGGCGGCTGGGCAGGCGGCGGCACCGGAGAGTCGACGAGCCTCGAAAAAACAACAGAAAACGGCTTCAGAAACCGGGTTGAGAGCTTGTGCTTGAAGAATAAACGTAAAAACGTCAAATAAAAATGTAATAAATGAAATGTTTTGCGGTCACAAGCGGATAAACGAGGCTTGAACAACTGACAGGAACATCCTGAATTTTCTTCCGATCGTCGGAAGAAGAAAAAAAACCAACAACTGAGTCCTCTCGCGGAAGGATGCTCGTGAGGATTTCTATGGTAGCAACCTCAGAGGCACGCGCAGCTTCAGGACCACAAACAGCGCACACACTTTACACAGCCCCTCTACCGCACAGCATTGTGGGAAGGGAGAAGGGAAAAAAGAGAAGAGTCGTGAGGCGTTGCTGCAGTCCAGATTTTACAGGACAGAAAAAGAATAAAAAGGAAGAAACGTGCAGAAATATTCAGACATGATCGATTCATTTAAAATCGATACTGTAGTTTGGTAAAATAAATGTATAAATGATAAAATAATACTTATATCTGGTTATAAAGAATAGCTTATTTGCATATGTATTGGACTGTTAGGCAGTGGGTACGCCCTGTTTACACTATCCACTGCCATAGTCCTCCCATATTTACAATATTTAAATTATTATTTAATAGCCTCATTAAAGATGGCAGATTACGTCACTCCTATAGTTTGGACGTGAGCAGGTGTCACAATGAAAACAGGCTGATGCATGCTAATTCAGCTTTTACTTTAAGTGGCATCTCCCCTTTCGATTATAGTGAAACTGGAGGTTTCCAGCAGATGGACAGCAAGAGGCTGCAGGGAGCAGAGGAGGAGGTGGAGGAGGAGGGAGACAGCGACCTCAATGGGACATTGTGTCAATTACACTCCTTCTTTGATGTGACGTGTGGTTGAACCTGCAGCCCACCAGCCAATCATATCGCACTCACACACATATGTTACATTCTTCTCTTCAAGGTTGCGACCTTATTTCCATCAGATTTATAAGCAACCTCGTATGTGTGAAGGTTGTGATTCATCTGGTTCATGAGCAGCAGAGGAAAGTCTCACATGAGGTTACTTCAGTCCAGGAGCAGGCCATCCTCTCAGTTTGTCATGTAAACATCTGTAGTTTTACATCTGTATGGTGTATCAGCCCCTCCCGGCTCATTTAGACTTCACTCAGCATAAAAATAAAACACTCATGAATAATTGATTAACATACAGCATTCATACAGGTGTTAGAGTACAATTAAACACTGGTATTGTCTCAGTGTTGTCATGAATAGAGATGAAAGTTGTGTCCATATAAAGGGTCGAAACAGCTGCAGTGTCACATCAGAGTAACACCAATTACTGGCATCTGCATGGTGTAGATTAGAGGGATCACTGCCAACTATTTGTAGTTGAGTTTATGAAGTGCCATAAAGGAGGTGTTTATTTTAGTTTTCCTGCTTGACACCTCTTCTTTAATCTTTAATCACACTGCACTAAATAATATCATCCAATCTTTTTCAAGTGGCATTAAAAACACACTATTGAACTTATGTAGCCAACAGGAAGTTATCTTTTATGGTGGTTTAACCCTAAAACTGGAATTCAGCTTTAACGACATTTCTCATCAGGTTGCCCTGGTTCCCTAGCACCTGACGCGGACCTTGTTGACCCGGGCGACGTCCGAGCCGGTGTGACTCTATCATTTGTATTTATATAATAAACATTTAATAATATATATATATATATATATATACACACACATACATATATATAATACATTGTATATAACACACTATATATGTAGTTGGATAAAAACTTGCTAAATGTTTATTAATGTACAGTATTTCTCTGTCTCACTATTAAGAATAAATTGTTACTTTTAGTATTTATACGCACTATTTAAACATTTATTAAATGTTTATTACATACTATAATGTGGTTATAAGCACATATAAGAACTTTTTAAGTGTTTATTAGTGTACAGAATTTATAATAATAATAATTTACAATAATTATAACTTCTCCTCCATACAACTTCAGGATATTGTATTTTTTTTAATCTTTTATTAACCAGCATCCACTTATACTGTGGCTGCAGATAAATGTTATAGTTGTTGATTAACTAAAACTCTTAAAACTGTTTACAACTAAATTATGCTGTGTTATAAACAATTTAACTATATTTATAGTACTTATAAATGCTTAATGGGCAGTTAAATTGTTGTCATATCAAGCCATTATGATGTCCCTTATTATTTCAAGCACTGCATGATAAAAAAAAAACTAGCATACATTTCTGCTTAACTTCAAAGTGAAAGTACTCTCAGATAAGTCTTAAATCAGGTGTTCAATATCACACCAGTGAACAAATATGATGTTTGGGGATCACCGGAGCTTTTTAATACCCACAGTACCAACAGATAGTGTAAAAGAGGTGTAAGTAGTACTTCAAGATCATCATATCAGTAAAAAAGATGACATTTTCCTTTTCATTTAAAGGAAGATGCAGAACTACATCTGCCTGTAATTATCTGTAAAAAATGTGGATGTAAATGATTAAATAGTCATAAAAATATGGATAAGAACTGGATGCCAGTTGTGTTTCCCCGGCTGCAGCTGTATACAGATGCATCCTCTGATGAAACATCATTAACATAACTCACATTACGCAGCAGCAACCTCACTGAGAGAGGAGTGGGAGTTTAACAGGTTTATTGACAAATGATGAACTAAATGTTCCCAGGGGAATGTAAATATCGACTTTGCTGTCACGCCGATACTTAAAAGAGTTGGAAAGCACAGTTTGTTGCAATGACATGCGATTTAAATGCCTCCTTCAAAGAGAGGAAAAAAAGAACAGCAAGTCGTTTGGACCCTTTTTCTCTTTTAATCAGTTTCCAAGCACACTTTTTCTCCCTCAATATCATTAAAAAAAATCATGACAGTTTGTGGAGTGTTTTGCTCTTTTTTGTTCTTTAAAACAATAAAAACTCCGTAATGTGATTTTAAACATTTCAAATATTTACAGTGTAACAAAGTTCTGGTGTGAAGTCTGACAGACCAACATAGTACGCGGGCTGGTTAATGATCCATACTGGGTAAAAAGTGGACCTCCTACTTACACTGACAGTGCCCCTCGACACCAGGTCTGATGGCATCTCTGATTTTCTTTACATGGATTCATGATACAAGAATGCCCACATAGAAAAATATGCAGCAGAACAGATTCTGTGCTGTCTCAAATCAAGTCTAACAAATCTATACATTGCATTTCAAAATAAACAATATTCTACTGCTCCGGCCTTCAAGTAGGTGGTTTATAGAAAATGTTCAGTCCTATGGTAGAAAAGCTGACATGTTCAGAGGTGAGAAATTCTACACCACAAAGCGCAGAAGAAGAAGAGGAGGAGGTGCGATGCTTTTCCTTTATTCAAGAGTTCATAGAGGTCGTTCTGTGTAACCATTTGAGTTTACTTTTTCACTCGCTGAAATTAAGAAGCCTTTCATCAACACTTTTATGCTAGAGGAGGTAATTTTAAGGTGATGAAGGTAACAAGAAATAGAAAGACTTAACTATCGCCTCAAAGCTAGTCTCAAGTCCGACGGCTGTCTTGTGTTCTTTACTTGAAGAATAAACTTGAACTGCCTGAGGTGTGAAAACAAGCTTCTATCTGTACCTTTTACATTACATCTTCTTTAAAAGAAATTATTCTTTTTCAGGCAAATATCAACAAAGTTACCACATACTTAATCCTGGAGGAACATTTTCAACTACTCGACTGCATCCATTGAGGACGAATATCTAAAAACGGAGTTTGGGCAGCAGCATCCTTATAAGTGGAGTTACAGGGTGAAATTAAAACCGCCATTATGGCAGCCTGGTTGACGTCATGCTCATGCCTTAAGCTCACAAATATAGTTAAATATATATATATAAAAAAAAATTATAAATGGCAGATATGACTGAGACATGATAAATAGCTTTCTGGTTGCGCAAATAATACACAGAGAACTTTGAGTCCTCAAATTAAAAGCTTGGACACTAAACAAAGATGATTTTCCAATGGCAGCTTGACTAATGTGTAAAAAAAATCATCTATTTCTATCTTAGAGTAACCCTAAAGCCAAAATGCAGCATTAAAATCGTCCATACACGCAGGCCAGGGTGCAAAATTAACTACCCGCCAAATGACTAGTGAATGCTCAAATTTTACCAGCCACTCAATACATTGATGCCATTTTTTTTGGCTGGGGAAGGATGTGTATTGTAGGTGTATTGTAGGTGTATTATACCAGCATTTGGCTGGTGGCTGGTGCTAATTTTGTGCCCTGACTCAGGCTGAACACAAAAAACCCACTTTAATCTGCAGTCCTGCGTGTTGCCAGGATAAATGCAAAAAGGTGGTGATACAAATTCTATAAAGGACATATAGAAAGAGTCTGAATAACTTTTTAGGGATTTACAGTGTGCGTTAGGTTTTCTTGTTGCCCAGTCTCTTAAAAACACTAACAGCCCTAACGTCCATCTGAGCGCCTAGAGACTCTCCTCCTCCTGCAGCGGCCCCGGTGCTGCTGCTGACCTTGGGGCCTTCTACGGTCAGTCTCTCCTGAGCTCTGGGCCTGGTGCTGGTGGTCACCCTGTTGTCCTGTGTGTCAGCAGGTGTGGGTGTCACAGCCTTTCCCTGGTGTGTTGCAGGGAGCTTGCCCAGTCTCTGAAGCACACTAATCTTGGCAGGGGGGAGGCCATTAGGAGTAGAGGAGGAGGTTGGAGTGTCAGAGGGAGGTAGTTTGAATTTGCCTCCCAGGCGCCGCAGGGTAGTCGGGGCTGGTTTTGTAGCTGGCTCTTTTTTCTGGGAGGGAGGCGGTCTCTTGAGGACACCAGCGTACTGGAGGACGGAGCCTTCTCCGTCACTGTCGTTTTCGTCGTCTACATCCATGTTTGCAGCCATTTTGCCTGCCCTCAACCTCTGATCCTCTTCCGCCCCTCTGTCCAGACGACTGAACACACCGGTGGGCTGCCAAACATGAGCATTATGAGCACACTACTCCTCTTTATGCCTGCATCTAATACAATACAACACAATACAGACAGAGCTACCGCAATATACTGGCTTGTCTCACCTTGTTATTGCTTGTTGTTGTGTCTGCCTTGGATTCAGCCCCAAGTCTCGCAAACACAGAGGTGCGTTTCAAACCTATTTAAGGGGAAGAGCAATATGCAATCAGAAAGATTTACTAGAAATGATTGTGACAGCTTGACTGTGAAAGGTTTGGTTCATGTTTTGATAACTCATTAGCTATAAAATAAAACAAAACAAAGAAAAAGGAACATGATCTTGATGGAAACTGAAGAAAATCATATTACTTCTGTTGTGCAACCCATTGCATTTTAAGACAAAACCTAAAGTGTTGCAGTGTGCAAGACTAATCAAAATGGGCTCTAAATCTAGCTGCAAGTTACCAGCTATCACCTATCATAAAACCTGTATCATTTATCATACCAAACCTTTAGCTTTACAGCTTTTCAAATGATTATGTAGTAGCCATGTAATAAAATGTTGTAATGTAAAATGAGGGTCGTGGAACACATCAGACACCTGTAATTTATTATCATAAATACTCTATTCTTTATATTCAATACTGACATTGTATTGCACTATGTTGAAGCTTTTCCACAAGCAACTTCGACCCAGACGTCCTAGTTGTAACTCTGGCTGTCTGTGATCCAGGTCAGGAATACAAATGATTGTGTTTTCAGTTTCTGTTAAGAATAAACTTGAGATTTTTTAATGAAAGAAAATACTGACAGAAGCCAAAACCGTGACAGACAGCAAGTTAGGTCTCAAAAATAAACACGAGCTGTTCTTTTCAGAGACAGAACCCACCGGAGAATTCATGCCATGGGAAACAAAAGAGGGACTACCGGCAAAGATTTCTAGGTAAAATGTAGGTGGTGTGAGACAAAGAAAGAAACAAGTTTTGACAGAGGGATTAATTATTGGTGCAATGGAAAGTATTAGTAACGGGATTAAAATAATGACAGAAATGAATGAAGGTCAAACAGGCTCCGTTCATCAGCCCTGAGTCACCTGATTGAGTTTTAGTATGAAAGAAGTCCATAACAACGTTTAGTATTGATTAGCTTTGTATTCGAGCGTGTTGTCGGCGAGGCCACTGGGTCAGGCCTACCTTTCTTGGCCTGCTGGCTCAGGATGCGGCGTGTACGAGGCGTGGTGCCTTTGGGCATGTTGATGATGTACTTGCCTTCCATCTCAGCTGTCACGCGTCGGCGCTTCACTGCTGGCAAACCGTTCCCCTCATCGGCTGGCTGACTCACAACTGACAAACAAAGTGGTGGGTACACGAGGATTAAACAGAGGTAAGAAAAACATACGACTCATGGCTCCAGGGAGACAGGAAATATTATTAATATTCCAGAATATCTACCTGCTTTGCCACTCTTATTCGCTTGCACGTTGGACACTGTGACGGACAGGCGGTTGTCAGGTCGACGGGCTGGAGTGGCTGGCGGAGAATCATTGCTCAAAGCGTTGGCAATCATACGAGTGGCAGCTGAGAAGAAGAAAAAAAAAAAAAAGAGAGAAAAGTAGTTGTGATTTAGCTTGTTTCCTACAGGAACTCTTCATGTTCTGTCCCCAAGACGAGATCAGAGGACAGCTGGGCTTCACAGTTGTCTTCTGAAATGTGTGAGGCCTTTCTAGACATGCCAAAATTAAAAGCGTTTAACAGGAACACGCCGTGAAGGACTGAAGAAGGTCTTGTATAAACTGGCACTGAGGCCAACAAACTAAAAGATGCAGTTTGTTCTGTTAACATTAGACTAAGCTGATCTATTTTTATCTCCTAATGGAGACAATTACCCTTTATTATGCCCTATTACCTGACATAACTGTGACAAATACAGCTTTTGTACTGCTCGAGCCCCTTTTATGCTATCCTTCAAAATAAAATCAGGACAGTAAATATCTCATGAGTCTGTCTAACAATAAAGCAGCAATAAAAGATAGCCGTTGCTTTATTGTTGGTTCAGAAACAAGCAACAGAAATGATAAAGTTTAAATGAAATAAAATGCATCATTCACCACTGATCACTCTGTTATGACCCTAAACTTCAATCTGAAAATAAATCCCTCCAACTAATGAAAATATGTTTTAATAATGGCCAACGTAGGAAAGTAAAATGTAGATACTTACGAGTATTTGCAGTTCTTCGGAGCTCAGCTTTAACACTGGTCTGTCCTGAGGAGATGGCGTCTGTGGCCATTTTGCACATGTCCTGAAGAGGGAGTGCATAATACAGAGGTTATATAAACTCATAGTCTACTGTGATTCACCGACCAGACAGCAGTGACTTTCAAAGACATCCATTCCCCATGACTGAATTCACAGTGGAGACACTGCAGCAGCATTTTGGTTGCTAATACCTGCACCAATGACAATGCACCATCCGTTTTCAACGTTTAAATGTAATCAGAACATGAAACTCCGATCTCACCTGCCTGTAGACCTGCTTGGCATGTTTAAGAATGGCAATGATGTCGCCAATGACTGTAATGCCGAGGTCCATCATGATGTCTTTACTCAGGTCCATCAGCATGTTCTTGTGAATTCTGCAGTGACATGAAAATTTAAATATTGTATGTACTCATGTTCCTTTGGTCTGTATCAAAGAAAAACAACAACAGGTAAACTGACAGCCGTGACAGCTGCTACAATTACCAAATGAATCAAACAAGCTGATTTAGCTTTTGAATTCATACAATCTCACATCATCAAAAAATAAAACAAAAAACATGGTTATACCACTTTGTATTCAACAAAAATTAACCAAACCAGAGCTTACTTGGAAGCAGACTGATACACGCCTTGTTAAATTGTTTTCATTGATGTCTCTGTGTGGTTGTCTGGAGTTTGACGGACGGATACAGGACTTAATGTATTCTTACAAATTTTATTTGTTGGTAAAGTCAGTCAGAATTGTAGCTGAACTACAATAAATTAATAAACATTTTCTCTTTAGTATCATCTTAGTAAAAGAGAACACAGCTACATTTACAGAAAATAACATTTAAATAGCAGCTTTAACACTGGTTGTGTTATTTTCCATAACCTGTTCATCCCTAGTTATTTTGGCCATTATGGATGAATGCACTTGTGATTTGTGTAGACAACACTACGCTGCCTACTGGATTTGGTTTCTGCTTCTCAGAGGAGGGATAATAATCCAAACTCATCCACCTTGTTTCTGGTGTCATGTTTTCACTTGTAGGTCATGATTATGTTGTTTATCATCACATATTGTATCTTTATGATCGACTGAAACCAATCAGTTGGTTACAATGACACTGCTCGGTTAATGAAAGAGACGGTCCACTGCTCCTTAGCAGGACAATGAACTGAGTTTCAGCTACAGTCTGATGTGAGGGTGCAAAGGAAATTCATGTGATCACAACGCAGCACGTTTGCAAAACAAAGAGGCAATAGCTTACCTGTTGTCCACGAAGGAGACGGCGTAAGTGACTGCGAGGCCGGCTGGGATCCCAGCATCTTTAAAAAACTGAATCCACTCTGAGGTGGCTTAATAAATAAAAATAAAGACACTGTTAGCAAACATACAACAGAAATGAACACGTTTACAATTAATTTAATTAATTACAAAAACTCTCTCTATTTATTAGATGAATCTATCCTTGCTGAGTGTATACAGTGTCTAAACATGCCCACAGCAATCCCCAAAACCCATAGTTACATCTTCAAAGTACTTGTTTAGTCTGACCTCACAGTCCTAACCCCAAAAGTATTTAATTTATAATTATATATATATATAACAGGGAAAATCCACACATGTAAGAAGCTGAGACCAGTATATACTTTTCTGCTTTAGTCCTGACACTGAGCAATGATCAGAATTGTTTCATCATTTTCTGATGGCCGTCTAATCAATGAAGGGATTACTTTAGCAGTAATTCTGCCTGTTACTCAAACACATACTGTTGTGACTGTATACGACTGTAGACTACAGTCAGAGCTAGGCCAGCGGGAGACGTAAACCTGAGGAGACAGCAGCACTCAGGGGTCTAACACATGCTGACCAGGGCCAGCTGGAGGTTATTTATAACACCAACCATGAGCTGCTTGTGTCTGGAGTTATAGATACAGAGTGATGGGTGCACAGCAGCTGCCACAACAATGGCTCAGTGTAACACACAGAGACTGATAGTGATGAACTCACAGATACACTGAGACGAACCTCACACTGTGGCTAACATCTCATTTGGCGCCCGAACAAGGCAGAACCACAAACGACGTGTGTGTCGAAATAAGAGGTATTGTAAGATAATAAAGCGAGATTTTAGAGGAAGACACTAAATTAGGTGTGAAACTGAATTTAAATGAAACCTGGTATCGATTCAGTGCCGGTTAGCTCACGTTAGCGCGACACGATGACCTAACCAATGAGCCAATTCAAAGATGAAAACAAGCACCAACTCAGCTCACAGCTCCTCCTTTACGTCTGCTTGAATCAGTGAAAGCTGGAATCACATTTTCTTTTTGCATCACTGTTAGCATTCAGCACTAGCATTGTGTTAGCGGTACCGGCCCGCAGCGTCATCCACTCGGAACCAACCCGGTCCTAACCCGGTCCTAACCCGGTCCTAACCCGGTCCACACGGCCTCCAGACCCGCCGCGGTGCCTAAAGTCGAACACACACTGAAACACAGACAGGTTTGGCTCGTTGTTCAGCCGGGCCTTTGTGCTCTCACCTGTTGTCACGGACGCCATGTTTACAACAAATGTGTGCCGACGTCAACTACGTCCGGTCCTGTGACGCAACTTCCGCCAAGAAGCGCAAAAAAAATTAAAAAATAAAAGTGTCGTGTAATTTTAAAGTGTGGACGCTAGAGAGCAACAGAGACTGCGCACTCACTCTGAAGTTACTGCACACTGCCATTAGCTCTCTTATCAGTTGTTTTCAGTGTCTGTATTTCTTTAAGTACGACAGGTACACCTTTTAAACCTGTTTATCGTTTAACAGTCAGCAGCAGATACAGAGACACATTCGTTCATCTGGAGGGATGTTTCTGTAAGTCCACTATTCACTCTCCTTTTAATCCCACCAACTCCTGAGGGAAATATCTGGGTTGTTAGCCGCTAAATGCTCCAGTATGTCAGTATGATAGTTAGCTGAACACATCTGCTTAGGCCGAAAACGACACTATGGGAGCAGTTTGAGTGAATCAGACCAGTAGTGGGCCTGTAAAACCAGCACAATGAGGCTATAAAAACCCTGTAGGGCCAAGGGGAAGGATAGAGTGAAGTGATAAATATCTGTGAGTTCATCACAATGATCCATGTAAAATACAAGCAGTCATAAAAGCATTTTGTTAAAATAGAAAATATTGATTATAGTCATTTTAAATATATAAATGATGTGTTTTTATAAAGGTGCTATTTTTCTGATTACTAATATAACATTATATATATGTAACATATTTTATAAGCCTTGCCAATACATGTTTTGCCACTGTTTATGTCTAAATATAATAGTTTGGGAATATTTTGTTATGTTGTCAGCTTAAACTTTTAGTGTGTGCAAGGCATTTAATACAATTCTATGTGGAGAATTGTGATGGGCATTTTTTACTTCACATTTTATGACATTTTCTGAAATCAATGATTAATCAAGAACATAATCATTAGTTGCAGTCCTAAATAGTATACATAGGTCCATGCTCATTGTTCACAGTCTCAATTCATGTAACAAAGATGGTAACTGACTTTAAAAAAGAAAATACATGCAGTGTTGAGCTGTAAGTCATTACTAGTAATAATATTAAAGTAAAAGAGTACTTTCCCCAGTTGAGTAGTGTTACTAATACATTTAAGTTATCAGTAATAATACTACAGTTGATTTTAACAAACAAAACTGGATTTTAATTGTGATAAGTCAGAATTTTGGGGAGAAGGGGCACAATTACCAAACAGAAAAAGTAATATAACTAGTAGTGTAACTAACTACTGATGGCAGAGAGTAAAAAGATAAAGTAATATTACTTCTTTTGACAAGAGTAATGAGTCATAATTAAAAAAAATTGAGTAACTAGCCCAACACTGAAGACACACACAAGAAAAATCTAATCAATGAAGGTCAAACATTTAAAAGTTAAAGTTATAATATGTTGTTTATTTATGTAATTTCTTCACAAATTGGAAATGGATGGCATTTGGTCAAACCATCATTAAAAGAGACAGCTCACCCAGCTTTTGCAGTCTAGAAACCGACAAAAAAGCTTTTTTATCATGTAAACCTTGGAAGAATAACAAAAAGGACCAGAAGCTGAAATATGGACACAGACATGGGACTGCAAAAGTGGCAAATTTGTCGTACACTTTGGTCCTCTTCATGAGTCAAAGTAAATAAAAGTAATAAAAATGAGTAAACAATACTTAGTTCTAGTAATGTGCAGAAAACTAGTTATCTTAAATTATAATCACAGAAATAAACAGATTATTTGATATCAGAGCACCTTCATGAGTTAGTTATGTAATTATCCATGTGCTCTAAGTGACCTGCCATTTAAGTCTGACATTGTCACATCTAGCACAAAGTTTCTTTGGGCCTTTCACTGCTGTAACCTCAAAATGTATCAAATCATATATCATCTGTTTTTAAATGTGACAAAATTGCAACCTTTGCTCCCAGAAAAAAAGAAATACAGAGTAACATGTTACAAAAAGTGATGAAACATTGATAAACGTCATGGATTAGAAAAGAAGCATTGGCTTATTGAAGTGGAGGAACAAAAATAGTTTTTTAAGATATTGTTACACAATTTCTTCATGAAGATTGTCTCAAAATTAAATGGTATAATTATTAGATAACTTTTAATGTTGTAAGAAAAAAATGATGATTAAAGCAATACATCATCACACTTGACATATAGTAGCAGTCAGTTTGAGCACTGTGTGATTTGCTACATTATGTGTATCCAAGAGGATAATAAGTATTGCATTTCATACCAGGGAAAATATGATATCAGAGTGTATATGAGACTTGTGGAAAAATAGAAATACATAGCAACATTCATCTCATAGAAAAATAGGAAAGCTCTTGTTCAGTTCACGCTAACGTTGCCATTGTACAGTACAGGTGGGTGCAGGCAGTTTGTCTGTCTCATAGCTGGTAGCTAAATAGTTCTCCTTTTTCCTTGCATGTCACCTATTCCAATTCATTAGCAAACCATTTGTGATTGCAGAAACAAAATATTTAAAGTAAATTCAGACAGCTTCAATTAAATCCAAGGCAAAGAAATTAGATGAAAGAATGAGTCTGTTATGTTGTGTGGTGATCAGGGGCGTACGTGTGGAGTGCAGGTACAGTACGAGGACCCTCTGAGATCTGTTTATCACACTAAAAGATGTATCAGGCAATTGACATTAAATCATGATGTAATCATAGAGTGATTACTGGGCTCTCAGAGCTTCAGCTGCTGGGAATTCACTGTTATTGGCTGCCACTCTAAATGTGCGTTCATTTGTCTGGAGCCTCAGTAACAGCAATGTAAAACCTTCCACCATACAATGTGAAACTGCCTCGTCATTATAGTATACTAGAAGTAGCACCACAAAAACCTATATACATGAGAACTCGTGAATATGTTTTATGCTTAATCTTTCACCAGAACATATTCTCATCACATTTGCATTTGGAGAAAAATCAAAAGGCATCTCCAACATCTGTACAAACACAGTCCAACATTTAAAAAATGAGGTCTGCCCATTTTCTGACCACCGAGAGCCACGTTTGAGCAAAACATTCTATCATTAATCTAGCCATTGTTTTGAATAAACATTTTTTATTTATTGAAAATAAAGCTTTTTATCCAGCAAATACAATCGCAAGATGTTTTTTATGTCAGTTAGACAACATATTTGCTTGACTACAAGAATGGGTAAACTTTAACATGATAATGTTCATAACAAGGCTAAAACTGTGGTTATCCTTCAAACACACATTGCAGTTAGGAAATAACAATGTTATTGAGTGATATGTTTATACTGGACACAAAGGCATACTACGTATGAAATACTTTGTCCTTAAATGAAACAGTTTAGTCATTATGTTGTAGTCTGAACACTTTTAATATGTGTATTGACATTCAATCACACTAGTTTTTTTCCCTCATTTTGCGTCTGCTAAGGATCAAGTGGCATTAAGGGGTCAGTAGCATTGGGACAGACCTCACAGAGAAAAAACAAACAAACAAAACAAAGGCGTTACCACAACCTTCTAACATCATAATTATAAACATACATTGAATGTAACTTGGATAGTGCTTTATATTGTTTATAAAACATAAATACACATTGATAGAGGCAGTGACATCGTGCTTCATGTTTAGGGACAGGGCAGTACTTTAAATTTATTATAGTTTTTTTTTTTTTTGTTCCTTTAGAAAAATATTCATTTTAAAACTAAACCTCAGTAACATTTTATCTTGTTCTTCATTGACAAAAATATCCCATTTAGATCTGCAGACATTCATACTTTACAATCATGGTACATACACTTATATATACATGTTACCTGTATATATGTATATGCATAAAGATATTATAATTCGATTTTTTTTGTAGTGCACAACATGCCTCCAAAGTTGCCAAATGAAAATACAATAAAATAATGAAACAATTGTTACAATGCAATAATAAAAGTAACAGTTATAAGGAAATCTCCCCATTAAAAATAAAAAACAAAACAAACAAAACCAAGAAACGGCAACAGTACAAATGAAAGCAGAGGTCAATGCAAAACAATCAAACACACAAACAAACATAGACATTAAAATATATAACAAATCTCACTCAAACATACAGGAAAAACAAATTGTACAAATTCACAGGCAAAGAAAGGACGCTCACTCCACAACATCAGCCAACATGTTCTCCCCTTTTGTTTCCAGGTCTTGCTTTGTGCTCACTCTCCACATCAACCTCAATAAAGAAAGAAATAAACGGGCCAGGTGCCTCAGAGTGGACGCACTCACAATAAACGCACCCCCGCCTTGTCTCCGCTGAGAGAACAGGGGAGGTACAGAGACCACTGAGCCCAACGTTTAGAGGTTGTCTGAATCACTACAAAAAAAGGAAACGTCTCTCCTCTAAATAAAGGCATCGGTTCACATCTGATTGATTCTGAGCAATACACGGAGCTGCTGCGCTGCAACAAAACGTCTGTATCTTCAGTTCAGAGACTTCAAAGCGATGGTGTGGATGTGCGCATGTAGGCCCAGGGTGATGAGGCTCTGTGGTATGGAGGTGTTTTTACTGAGGTCACCCTTCCACACAGTTGGCAAGAGCAGGATTTTTCTTTCTTTCTCTCTTTTTTCTTTTTTTCTTTGTTTTTAACATTTAGCTCTTTCTTTGTTTTCAGCTTTTGGTTCCAAGAATTGATGGCCAGGATGGGAGTCATCCTCTTTATCCATCGTCTCTCCATCTGAGTCTGTCAAGCTCGGTTGCACTTCCTTCCTCCCTTCCTGCTTAAAATCTCTCTCCATCCTCACTTTTAACCGGCCTCACAATATAAGATGTGTTTAATCGTTGTGTGAACATTGAAAAATGGCTCAGCAGAAGACAGTGGCGTCTGTCTTGCATTTTGCGTTCATCAATTATGCGTCTATGTGCGTGTATATAAGTATTTAGCTGCTGTTCACTGTAAGGCTCCTCTTTGAGCAATGCGCTCCAAGAAAAAAGGTTCTTCTGTATTTGGGAGGGGGAAGGGGGGGGGGTTGCATCCATGTCCTTGTATGAGAGGGTGCAAAAGGG